ATTAGACAATGACTAAAGTTGTACGTGTGGCTTGTTATACACTCTTCATGTAATTACAAACAGTAGGGATTATCAATATATAATTCCATATGCAAATACTAATAAAATCCCGTCAGCAATGTAAGCTGCCTTAAACAATAAAAAAAAAAAAAAAAAAAAAAAATTCTAAATAAATCAAAAATCTGTTTGATTCGATCATTGAAATAAGACAAATTTCAACAAGATTTCATATTAAGAATCTATAAAATCTATTCTTAGATTTTATATCTAATTTAATTTATTTATAAACCTATAAATTAAACATATAAACTTTAAGAATAGAAAATAATCAAATCAACTTTTTGTGAATTCAAAAAACAGAACAAAATTTATCAAAAATCTTGTTATAAATGCCTCAAACAAAAAAGGAAAAAAAGATTTTTACTAAACATACAAGATATTTGTCATGTGTTAAAAAAAGAATTAAATGTATTAGCATCTCAAATTCAGATACGTGTCAATATTGTTTAGAGAATAATCATATTTGTAACAGATTCAAACCTAGTAAAGTATATAAAGAAATTAATAGACTAAATAATATTATATATAATCATGAAACTCGAATTAAAAATCTGGAATATGATACAGCTATCCTGAAAAAAAAAAACAGAATATTTAAAAATTATATGAAGCAACAAGAGCTTCTTCAAAATACTTTAAGATCTTCAATTATTAATCAAAATAATGATGAAGATGATATTTAATGATAATTATTAAAATATATAAATATACTTAATTTATTTTTTTTTAAATAAAGATGAATCTTCCTTTAGATATTTTATTTGAAATCTTTGGTTTATTATCTCCAAAAGAGAGATTCAAAATAAAAACAGTATCGAAATCTTTTTACAAAATTCATCTAAAACATGTTTTACAAAGAAACAATCTTGATCCAAACAAATATATTCTTTATCGAAGAAGTAAAAACATAAAATCTGATAATTTAATTTATAATATTGTTCGAACTGATATTAATTATATCTATCTGAAAACTAAAAGAACAAAAAAAGAAACCAAAGTTAAAAAATTATATAATAAATATGGAGTTATCTATTGTAAATTTCAAAATAACTATTTATACATTCATGAAAAAGAATATATTAAAAATATTGAAAAGGATAATTATGAAAAATGTAAAGAATTATATTTTTTAAAAGATTGCAGTTTCTTTAAAGAAGTTTGTCCTTTCAAAAATTGTAAAAAACTTAAAGTTTACAAAAAATTAAAAAATATTGATAATAAATTAACAAAAAACTTTGATAATTATTGTGAACATAGACTCTGTCAATAGTGCACTTTAAAATTTTCAATTCGATTTAATGTAAAAAATAATAAATATGTTCAAAAATTATTTATTCAATAAAATTAAAATTTACTACAAATCTATTAGTTCAGATGCTTTTCTATATCGATCAACTTATCTATTAAAAATCCTCATGAAGAAATTTACAATTATGATTAATCCTCATGAGGAATCATCAGATATAACAAACAACACATAATATTTTTTTTTATTTTTATAAAATTTTAATATTTTTTTTAATAAAATCATTTATATAAAGGCTAATGTTTAAATTACTATAACTCTAACAAAATAGCTAAAAATATCTTCTTCAAATATCTTACAAAGGAAAATATGATATCTGTTATTAATTTTTTTTCAATAAATTTATTAATGAATTTTATTGAAAACAAATATCATTTTACACCAAAAATTACTTTAATATTTGGAAAAGAAGAACCTTTTTTTCCTGTTAATGTTAAAAAATATCATACTTCTAAAGAAAAACTTTCTGAACGTTGGTCTGAGATTAATAATATAATTTTTCCTATTAAGATCAATTCAAATGATGATTTAAAGATGTATTATATTGATTCAATTATTAAAAATATTTTTCCTAAAATTTTATTTATTTATTCACAACATTCACCAGAAGATTTAGAAAAAAAAGTCAATGATATTAACTTTTTTAATAATCATTATTCAAAAAAAGAACTTGCTTTATTTTTTGAAAAAGTACCTTACTTTGGCCTTCATCAAGATATATCTCTTATTCATTTACATAAGATGAATATAACAGAATTTAATCAAAAAGAAGTTTTTGTTATTAACTTTAACATTATTAATCTTAAACAATGTTGGGATAATTATAATAATTAAACTTATTTTATTATTAGATTAGATGATATTCAATTTTATAAATTATTTACAATTGATCTAATTGTTAAAAAAATAATTCCAAAAAAAATTATCTCTATTTCTAAATATTCTCATGAAGAATTATTTACAGATACAATTATATTTTAATAATATTTTTATATA